CATTTTTATCAGGTCAACAAAACATAGTAACAATATTTTTATACTACATTTATCCATTTTAAATACACTAACCTCACTCCTTTGTTACAACTAAGGCAAAAATGTAATTAATTCAGAAAATGTTTTCAGGACCCCACCTTGATGTTTCGACCCCAACTTTGGGAAACACTGCATTAGAACACATTAAAAGAAGATTTCTTTGTGATTTATTCTTTATTATACAGACGAAATTAATGAATAAAATGAGTAAAATCACAAAGAAGCAGTAAGGACTGTAGATGATTTGGCTGAATTCATGCAGCACCAAACAGGGAGGTGGTGTTTTTTTCATTTGGTGCAGGTCTGATGAAATAAGTAAACAAGGGTTTACCCACAATCACTAATGACAAATGATCTCAGACAAAAAAAAAAAKAAAAAAAAAACATACCTGCAAAGTTGATCTGCCAACTTTTAGAAAGCAATAACTGGACAAACACCTACAACTAATCTACTTTTGGAGTCAGTTAAAAGATGGACACTGTATTTAAGTGACACAAAGACGGTTTTAATTCAGTCAAACGTACAGATGATGAAGTAAAACTGGGAGTGGTTATASCTGTGACTCATCCCCAATGTATACTTTGAGAAGCAAAAATGTAACTAATTCAAACTGATTCAAGATGGCCGCCACAAACAACCGATGTCACAAATCAGAAAATTTGCTTTAAMTCAGTCGGTTTTACAYATATTATGATYTAATGTGGTCCCAAAGAGTCATTCATGACACATATACCAGTAGTTTACCGAAATGCATTGTATGCATGCTATYTAAACAAAGAATTTGTACATTTCCTGAACAAGTCTGAGCATAAATTCATGKATACGTATCAAAACTACCAAACTTCCACAGTGTTGATGTGTTTACAGTCACTTCAGCTGATCTGAAGGTAAACAAACAGATGTGGTAAAACACAGCATGAACCAATATACAGAAAGCATTTGGACACCCCTTACCAACACTCAGCAAAAAGTATCACATATATGCAAGTATCCTTTAAGTGCACTAATTTTAAATTAAAAATGAAAAGAGTCCAGTTTACTTTTTTATGTACTCATCTGAGATATACTTAACCAAGTTTATCTTACACTGTACTTGGCTTTTACGAAACGTTTAAGTATACTTAGTCTATATTGATGTTTAAACTTTTGGCCAAGATAAACTTTAGTAGTACACTGCAAGTACATTTTCACACAGACTGGCTTATTTGTAGTATATTTCAAGATTAAACTAAAAGTATACATAAAAGATTACTTTCAGTATACTCCTGAGTATAGTTTCTTAAACGTATTGTGGGTCAATTTAGTCCTTGGTGTATATTTGTTAGTAAACTGCCAGTATACTTAGCTATATCAGTGTACATGATAAATAAAAGTCCACTTAAATATACTTTAGTACACTTAATGCCATGTACTTAAAGTATGCTTCTTTTTGGTAAGTTTATAAATCTAAAAAGACATTATAACAGTATCTTTAAAGTATGCTTTTTATAAACAAAATGTCAGTATAAAAATCAGTATACTTTCTAGTACACTACAATTGCATGGTGCCTAGTATACTTGATATACTTAAACTTATACTCAAGTATTCTTATTAAAATGAACTTCAAGTACA